GAGCTGCACTGGTGTGCCCCGCCCCGTTAGCCCCGCCTTCGAGGCGTCCGCTCTTTGGCCCTCCCCACCTTTAGCAAGACCAACGAGAGGATACCGCCGGCATGTAGAGCAGCCCGGACAGAAGCTTAACCGAGTGGCGCGCAAACACGAGAGGAAAGCAGTGTGCGGTTGTGTTTTTCTTCCTTCGTGGGGGTCTAGACGCAGGTGAGTGCAGGGGCCCGGTCCCCACCCCTAGCACAACCTGGAACTGCTGAAGCCTCCCTTTCTTCTTCGGGAGGCCTGGGCCCCAGCCTGCTCCCAGCATGCTCCACGCGGGATGCCGGGGCAGGTGCAGGGGGAGGACTAGTGAGTGCGGAAGACGGAGACCGGGAGCCGCCCGCCTGGAGTAGCTGCCTTACCCCCTCGATGGGGTCTTGAGGTGACTGCCCCCCACTTCATTTTGTCTCCTCCCTTTTCCTTCTGCACCTCAACCACCTTCACTTTCTATAAACCACTTGGCTGGTTTATGCCTTATTGGTGCTTTCATACAGTTTTTTTAAGTTTCCCTCTGCACGGAATGTCCTATCACGTGCATCCTGTGCGTGTGTGTGTGTGTGTGTGTGTGTGTGTATACACTTGCCTCCACTGTTGAGAAAAAAAAACTCTGTAGAATACTTTGTGCAAATGATTTTATTAAAGATTGGTAGACTTCTTGAGTTTTGATCAATAATTTTATTTTTTTATTTTTGGAGAGATTTTCACTGTAGGGCGCGTGCGCTCGCCAGACAGACAGAGAGAGACAGAAATCACCCCCCAAGGGGGATGGTCACGCCGCAATCCCTTCTCCTCCATTCTCTTGGGATCTTGGGCATGCACGCACACGCGCCGGCGTGAGTTTTAAGCCACCGGGTCCGGGACACGAACCGCGGTCGACTACGTGGGAGTCCAGCGACATAGCCATTATGCTAACTGCTGGTTCCCGAGTTTTGATCAATAATTTTGTAGCCAAGAGGAGTAGTCCCATCACAGAGAATTCTGACACATACACATGTCATAGTTGAGCTAGGGAACACATAGGAATTGGCCAGAAATCATGAAAATTGTGTAATATGAAAAGCTGAAATCCTCTGTAAATTAATTTTAGGATGCATCTGACAAATCTACTATTAAGCAGAATTTGTTTCCTGTCAGTTCACTTGTCCTTTTTGAAGCTCTGTTTATTGACCAAGTTCTGTGAGTGACACAGGAAAACTGTCCTGCTTGATTCCCCACCCCGCCACCTCCCACTCAGGAATTGCATCTACCAAGTTTTTCTACACTTCTGTCCTTCCGGTAGAAATCGAAATCCATTTCCTCTAAGGGAGGTTAAAAAATAGGGATAGCTTCCTTGTAGCAATACAATGATGTTGGGTGGAAGATGTCAATTATGGTCAACAGATGGAACAAACAGTTTTATTCTTTTTCATATGTAGTAAAACAAGGTTATCCAGTAACTCATTTATGAAACTCTCAGTAATGTGGTGAAGCACTATGGAGATTATTATACTGTAATAGAAAAAGCATTAAACTGATATCAAAACATCGAATTTCTAGTCCACTTCTGCCACTGACTAGCTGTGTGACATTGGGTCAGTTACTTAGCCTCTATGGACCTACATTTCCCTATCTGTTAAAATGAGAGAAATGACACTAGTTAGCGCCTAAGACCCCCTTTAAGACACACAGAAAATCTAAGTAGCTCAGTAGAACAGTCTTTGTAGAGATGGAGGGGAGATTGGGAAATTGTACTTTTACTGACCTAAATTGATAGCATATAATTTTTTTTAGCAGTTATATTTAGTGGCCTTTTAAAAACTCTCTTACTTGAAATAAAAGTGAACATTTTGCCCCTTTACTTCCTCACAAAAGAAGAAAGTTACTTTCGAGGAAATAAAAATGTTAATTAACAGTCCCCAGATATTCCTATATTGGCTCATTTTTCATCCAAATATTTTCAGACTTATTTTAACATTTATTTCTTGCGAGAGAGACAGAGAAAAAGAGGCACCCCCAGCTGCAGCCAGATCATAGGCATTCACATGCCTTGTGTACTGAGAAAGATCTCCAGATGTGAACCTGGAACCGTCCCATTGGGGTTAGCCTCTGAGAACATGGCATTTTACTGCTGTGCCACCATCTGGCCCCATACCAGTAATTTAGTTTTCATTATAGACTTTAGTGGTTGGAAACCATTTGTCTTAGCAACAAAAGTGTAAATATTAACATATATTGTATCAATCTCAAGTGACTTAATTTGGATATATTCAGAACACTTAAAGACAGCAGCTGTCAGTTCAATAAAAGATTAGGTTGAAAGCAGAAATATCAGCACAGATATCATTGGTGATTTGCTAATTATATGTGGTTTTATCTGTTCAATTTAAGGTTTCCATGTGAAAGTCCATTTATATCTGCAGAGGTATTTAAATAATAATTAGATTGCGTAGAAAAATGTCATGACTTTCCTGATGACCCAATATAACGCAACCGCGTTGATGCGTAATTCTTTAAAGAGAATCATTGGTTTCTGGGTTAATACTTTGATTAGTACTCAGTTAATTAAATCTCCATTGATAAAGTACAAAAGTAGCCTTCCCACAGCAGATTCTACTCCATAGAGGAGTTGCTGCAAAGTTCCAGTTTATACCAAACAGTAATCAGATACCATTGGAAGCTAAAGATTCTGAGTCCTTGCTATGGGTCACTCCTTGGTATATACTCAGGGGGTTGGTTCTAAGACCCCCACCCCCTCACCCCATGGATTCCAAAGTCCACAGATATGTAAGTTGCTTACATTAAAATGGTATAGTACAGTGAGCCCTCTATCCACAGGCCAACTGTATATGTCACTAACTTGATATCAAGTTTGGAAACCTTTCTCTTTTTTTTTTTTTTTTTTGGAGAGGTTTTTTTGCTATAGGGCACGTGCACTCGCCAGACAGAGACAGAGACAGAAAGCAAGAAATCATCCCCCAGGGGAGATGGCCACACCGCAATCCCTTCTCCTCCATTCTCCTCTTGGGATCTTGGGCACGCACACACACGCACCTGGCGTGAGTTTTTTAAGCCACCGGATCCAGGACGCAAACCGCGGTTGACTACATGGGAGTCCAGCGACATAGCCATTACACTAACTGCTGGTCCCCCTTTCTTTTTTTTAACATTAGAAACATTGTAAGTACAGTCATGCTTTACTTAATGTTGAGTATATGTTCTAAGAAATGTGTCATTAGTTTCATTGTCAAGCGAACATCATGTAGTGTACTTACACAAAGCTAGATGGTGTAGACTGCTACTCGCTAAGCCTATGTGGTTTAGTTCATTATAACCCTTTGAGACCATTGTTGTGTATATGGTCCCTTATCAATCAAAAAGTTGTTAGGTAGTGCATGACTACATATAAGGCATACCAAATCAAATTGCCAGACTAATCCTCTTTCTTCTTTATAGGAAAAATGCTTTCTGAAAGCAACTCATTTTTGAAGGGTGTGATGCTGGGCAGCATTTTCTGTGCTTTGATCACTATGCTAGGACATGTTAGAATTGGTCATGAAAACAGAATGCACCACCATGAGCATCATCACCTACAAGCTCCTAACAAAGAAGATATCTTGAAAATTTCAGAAGATGAACGTGTGGAGCTCAGTAAGAGCTTTCGGGTATACTGTATCATCCTTGTGAAACCCAAAGATGTGAGTCTTTGGGCAGCTGTGAAGGACACGTGGACCAAACACTGTGACAAAGCAGAGTTCTTCAGTTCTGAAAATGTGAAAGTGTTTGAGTCGATTAACATGGAAACAAAGGACATGTGGTTAATGATGAGAAAAGCTTATAAATACGCATTCGATAAGTATAAAGATCAGTACAACTGGTTCTTTCTTGCCTACCCCACTACATTTGCTATTATCGAAAACCTGAAGTATTTTTTATTAAAAAAGGATCCATCACAGCCTTTCTATCTAGGCCACACTATAAAATCTGGAGACCTTGAATATGTGAGTGTGGAAGGAGGAATTGTGTTAAGCATGGAATCCATGAAAAGACTTAATAGCCTTCTCAGTGTCCCTGAAAAGTGTCCTGAACAGGGAGGAATGATTTGGAAGATAGCTGAAGATAAGCAGCTAGCAGTCTGCCTGAAATATGCTGGAGTATTTGCAGAAAATGCAGAAGATGCCGATGGAAAAGATGTGTTTAATACCAAATCTGTTGGGCTTTTTATTAAAGAGGCAATGACTAATCACCCCAACCAGGTAGTAGAAGGGTGTTGTTCAGATATGGCTGTTACTTTTAATGGACTGACTCCTAATCAGATGCATGTGATGATGTATGGGGTATACCGTCTTAGGCCATTTGGGCACGTTTTCAATGATGCATTGGTATTCTTACCTCCAAATGGTTCTGACAATGACTGAGAAGTGAACAAGAGCATGTATATGATCACTGTATAGGATATATGTTGTCATTATTTATAATGATTATATATCCTAATGCAAAAGTTATGGGTTTTTTTCTTTTCTAATTTGGTGGCACTGGTATAATCACACATTAAAGTTTAGTAATACATGTTAAATTAGGTGGTATTTTTTTTCCTTAAAATACATATGACAAATTTAACTTTGTTGAAAATGTTTTAAGAAGAATAATTTTGCAAATAAAGGATATAAATATTTATAAATGTTATATTTATGTGATAATTCCTAAATTATGAACATTAAAGTCTGTGTAACATATTTTTGCTGATTTAAAAAATGTAATGTCTTTATAACTTTCTAACATATGCAAGTGAAATCTCTACTTGTGAATTAGTGATTAAATCTGTTAGCTATGTTTCCTTTACTTCTGTTGACTTTTTTCTTTCTTTTTTTTGGAGAGGTTTTTGCTATAGGGCATGTGCGCTCGCCAGAAAGAGAGAGAGACAGGGAGATAGAAAGCGAGAAATCACCCCCCAGGGGGGATGGCCACGCCGCAATCCCTTCTCTTCCATTCTCCTCTCAGGATCTTGGGCATGTACGCACACGGGCCTGGCGTGAGTTTAAGCCATCAGGTCCGGGACGTGAACCACAGTTGGCTACATGGGAGTCCAGCGACATAGCCATTATGTAACTGCTGGTCCCACTTCTGTTGACTTATGTTCTAACCTTCCCCATGTGTCAATGGATTTGCCTTCTCAAAATGCACAATCAAGCAACAAAGAAAAGCTTTCTATCCGATGTTAAAATGAAATTTGAAGTCTATTCCTGAGATAAAAAAGTGAAAATTACTTACATGAAGATTCTTCAGAAAGTTCATGAAGACCCAGCCAGAAGGCTGCTGGACCCCACATGACCAACAATGTGGTTCGAGTCCTGGACTTAACAGCTTGAAAAACAGGCCAAATATTTGTGCACACATGCCCAAAATCCTGAAAGGAGGAAGAGTTGGAGAAGAAGGGATTGCTGTGTGATTATTTCCTATGGGGGAAGGAAACTTTCTCACTTTCCTTCTTTCTGTCTCTCCAGCAAGCACACATGCCCTCTAACAAAAATGGGTTTTTTTGAAGAGGTTTTTACTATAGGGTGCGTGTATTCACCAGAAAGACAGACAGAAAGTGAGGAATCACCCCCCAGAGGGGATGGCCACACCACAATCCCTTCTCCTCCATTCTCCTCTCGGGATCTTGGGCACGCATGCACACGCATCCAGTTTGAGTTTAGGCCACCAGGTCCAGGAGTCGAACCACAGTAGAGAACGTGGAAGTCCAGCGACATAGCCATTACACTACCTGCTGGTCCCAAGGATTATTAATTTTGAAGTATAATAAAAACCTTTAGAGGCCAGCAGGTGGTGTGGTAGTTGAGGCACTGGCTTCCCACATGGCTGACAATGGTTCAAGTCCTGAACCTGGCAGCTTGATCTCTTACTGTCCCTCTCCATCTCTACCTCTCTCTGGTCAAATTGAATAAGAATAAATTCTTTAAAAAAAATTTAAAACCCTTTATTGAACCCCCTAATACGTGTTCTCAGATGCAATTACTATGGGTCATGTTTACTGTGAGCAGTGGTAAACAGTATCTCTGAGTGACACACAATTTGTAATATCACCCTGCCCCCAACAGCATTGTATCTTTATATTCCGACTGCATTTTTTTTTCTTTATTGCAAGAGTGCACATGTGCTTGAGAGTGAGAGAGAGTGGGAGAGAGAAAAAACACCCTTCCCAATGGGATGTGGACACCCTACAGTCCTTTTTCCTTTGTTTCTCCATCTCTTCAGAATTTCAGGTATGCACACACATGCCCAATATGTCTTGTTTTCTTTTTGTTTAATAAGAGTATTTTGTTTGTTTGTTTGTTTGTTTGGCTATAGGGCGTGTGTGCTTGCTGGAGGGACAGAGAGGAAATAAGAAATCACCTTCCAGGGGTATGGTTACACCACAATCCCTTATCCTCCATTCTCTTCTCTGGATTTTGGGTGTACATACACACACATACGTGCACCAAAATAAACTTGTACTTTAATTCCATTCTTCCCAGTTTGAATTTTAAGCTACCAGATCCAGGACTCAAACCATGGTCAATCACATGGGAATCCAGTGATGTACCATTTTGCCATCTGCTAATCCACCTGGCATGTTTTTTAAGCCACCAGAGTGAGAGCCATGTGGAATCTGGCTCTCTGCACAGAGCTTAAATGCTGTGCTACAGGGCCGTACTAGTATAAGCTTTCCATGGGCAATAAGACAAATTGTAGTTTGTATTAGAATAAAATGCATTGGGACCAGCAGTTAGTGTAATGGCTATGTCGCGGGACTCCCATGTAGTCGACCGCAGTTTGAGTCTTGGACCCGGGGGCTTAAACTCACTGTGTGTGCAGTGTGCCCAAGATCCCAAGAGGAGAATGGAGGAGAAGGGATTGCAGTGTGGCCATCCCCCCTGGGGGAAGGGGGATTTCTCGCTTTCTGTCTCTCTTTCTGGGAAGTGCATGCACCCTATAGCAAAAACCTCTCCAAGAAAAGAAAAAAAAAGAATAGAATGCATTGAGGGACTGGCAGTTAGCATAATGGCTGTGTCGCTGGACTGCCATGTAGTCGACTGCGGTTCTCGTCCCGGATCCGGTGGCTTAAAACTCACGCCGGGTGCATGTGCGTGCATGCCCAAGATCCCGAGAGGAGAATGGAGGAGAAGGGATTGCGGCATGGTCATCTCCCCTGGGGGGTGATTTCTTGCTTTCTGTCTCTCTGTCTCTCTCTGTCTGTCTGGCGAGTGCACATGCCCTATAGCAAAAACCTCTCCAAAAAACCAAAAACCTCTCCAAAAAAAAAAAAAAAAAAGAATGCATTGGGAGTTTGTATCAGAATATGGTGGTTCCTTTGCCTTAAAATTCCTGCATTTAATCAGTGCCATTTCTTTTAATGCCATTTCTTTGGTAGATTTTATTAATTACACACAAGATTAACCACATCTGTTATGCCATTATTTTGGCAATTTGGCAAAAGCTCTGGTAGATCAGGACTTAAATATAAGACTCAGATTTTGGAGAGAGAGATGGAAGGATAACTGCCCTTAAGGTGTGACTGGCTTGCATGAGAATAAAAATGCTTTGATCTAGTGAATAACTGACAGAGATGTCCACCTGGGTGCCCAAAGTGTTGAATAATAATAATAGTCAAAATACCAATCCAGTTCCAGCTGCGGGGAAGAGATGGCACCGAGAATCTTCTAGAACACTTGCCTCCAGAATGAAGCTTTGGGGAATACTGCCTAGTCTCCAATCCAGTGCTGTCCAACAGAAATATAATGTGAGCAACATGTGTAATATTAAATGTTCTAGTAGCCACCCAACAGAAATATAATGTGAGGAACATGTGTATTATTAAATGTTCTAGTAGCCACACTAAAAAAGTAAAAGCACAGGTACCATTACTTTTAGTAACATGTTTTATTTAACCCAGTATTTCCAAACCATTTTCATTTCAATATGTAATCAGTAGGAAATAAATATTAGCATACATTCTTTTTTAATTAAGTCTTTGAAACCCAGTGTATATTTTACAGTTACAGCATATCTCAATTCAGACTTGTCACATTCCAGTAAGCACAGCTGGCTAGTGGCTACCTTATTGGGGAGTGCAGGTTTAAGCAATTCCAGAAGGTGTGCGATCCCCACCCCAGGGATAATTCTCAATGGAAGAGTTGTATTTGTTTCTCTGGTTGTCTCCCATGCAGTAGAAACTGCAACCTGACTTAACAGGCCTCAGGCCATCCCCTAGCATGAGTTCATTCACTCATCTCAACATTAAATCACTGAATGGAGAACAAAATATAGGTTAGACCCCTCAGCTTTTTTTTCCTTAATTGCAACTCAACCAAAACTGTTGCCATCATTTATTTTAATATTCACTACTCTTTTGCCCCAACTATCTTCAAAGCAAGTGCTAGTCCTCCCTTTGCACATTATGTTCTACACACTTAGCGCCACTTACGTAACCCTCCCCATTTTGTCCTTTTCTAGATCCAGCAAAGGCTTCTAAATGGCATAACCTTTAAATAGTTACAAATCTCCTGGCTAACAGGCGACTAGTAGGAAAAGTTGAGATCTCAGAACCGAGTTCAATTTCAATACTCTGCTGTTGAAAAAGGAAACAAAAACTTTCCTTCCTCCACACCAGAGAGACGCTGTGAAAGCACCCCACTCTAGCTTATCCAAACCCTACCCATCTTTTCCCACTGTGGCACAGAGGCTTACCAACTTCCACCTCTCTCCAGTAACCCATAAAGATGGTGATTCAACGGTGGGCCGAGACTAACATTTTATGAAATATGAGGGGAGACCTTTCTGCAAAACATGGGTTTTACAGTCAGGTCTAACTGGGTTTAAATTCTAATTTTGCCATCTATTAGCTGAAGATTCCTCTTTCATAAACTCTTGGAGCTTTAGCTTCTTCATTTGTAAAAGAAGAATTAAGGGGGACCAGCAGTTAGTGTAATGGCTATGACGCTGGACTCCCATGTAGTCGACTGCGGTTCGAGTCCCGACCCCAGCAGCTTAAACTCATACCAGGTATATGTGCATGTGTGCCCAAGATCCCAAGAGGAGAATGGAGGAGAAGGGATTGCAGCATGGTCATCCTCCAGGGGTTAATTTCTCATTTTCTGTCTCTCTGTCTCTCTCTGTCTTTCTGGCAAACGCATGCACCCTATAGCAAAAAACCTCTTCAAAAAAAAAAATAGAATTAAAATATACCTCATAGAATCGTCTTAGATAGTAAGGAAGATACAGTAATAGAGCTTGTACACATAATAGGACTCTTATTCATTTGAGCAAGTTTAGCACTCTAAACAGTTAAATATTTATCAGTCCGTCGCATTAAACATCTTCATGATAAATATTAAAATATCAATGTGAATAACAGCTGGTATTAAATATTCCAATTCACAGGGGAATTCCTTAATTAAGAGTTTCAGGATAACATCTGTACATGTAAAAGTCTCTGCCACACTATAAAACTTTCCCTGAAACAGCTTTTTAATACCTATTTTTAAAGGAGAAATTCATGTTGCTTGGAAGAACAGGATCTTAGGATATTTTCCCCTTTCACAGCAAATTAGACATTATTGGAGCCCAGACTGCTGCAAGTGGTATGGCTTCTTTCTCGCCACACTTTAATCAAGGTGTTTCTCTCTATATTGGCAAAAACAAAAACCACTGTGTAAGTAGAACTCTTACTAGTGACTACATCTGGGCATTTGAGAAAGAATTGAGGTA